AAATTTTTGGGTGTAAAAAGTACAAAAATAATAAAGCGCTGTAAAACTTAAAACAAAAATTCAGTTTTCTCCAAATTTCAGTTGTTGACATACCTCCCAGACTTCTCTTGAGTACCCCAAGGGTACTCGTACCACTGGTTGAAAAACACTGTCCTAGAATACTCAAGGACCTGATAGAGGAAGTATCTGAGTCTTTAGCTATCATCTTTGAAAAATCATGGAAGACAGGAAGATTCCAGAAGACTGGAAAAGGGCAAATATAATGTTCATCTATAAAAAGGGAAATAAGAGTTACCCGGGAAACTACAGACCAGTCAGTTTAACTTCTGTGCCAGGGACGATAATGGAGCAAGTAATTATGGAATTCATCTGCAAACACCTGGAAGATAATAAGGTGATAGGTAACAGCCAGCATGGATTTGTTAAGCACAAATTATGTCAAATCAATCTGACATCCTTCTTTGATAGGATAATGAGTCTTGTGGATAAGGGAGAAGGAGTGTTGTGAACAAGACACGAGAAGGAATGATTCTTCCACTCTACCCTGCACTGATTAGGCCTCAGTTGGAGTATTGTGTCCAGGTCTGTGCACCACATTTCAAGAAAGATGTGGAGAAATTGGAGAAGGTCCTGAGAAGAGTTAAAAGAATGATTAAAGGTGTAGAAACCATGACCTATGAAGAAAGACTAAAAGAATTGGGCTTAGTTAGGAAAGGAGAAGACTGAGAGGGGATATGATAGCAGTTTTCAGATATCTAAAAGAGTGTCACAAAGAGGAGGGAGAAAAATTGTTGTCCTTGGCCTCTGAGGATAGGACAAGAAGCAATGGGCTTAAACTGCAGCAAGGGAGGTTTTGATTAGACATTAGGAAAAACTTCCTAACTGTCAGGGTGGTTAAACACTGGAATACATTGCCTAGGGAGGTTGTGGAATCTCTGTCTCTGGAGATATTTAAGAGCAGGTTAGATGGACATCTATCAGATAGACATCTATCAGGGACAGTCTAGATGGTACTGGGTCCTGCTATGAGGGCAGGGGACTGGACTCAATCTCTCAAGATCTCCTCCAGTTCTAGTGTTCTATGATTCTATGGTCTGTTTGGCTTCAAACAGGGTATGAGGTGATATTGGGGACTGAGGATAGTAATGTTTATTAGGTTTTGGGTTTGAGAACCAGTGGTGTGCTCCATACGGAATAGAGTTCATGACCGGCCTGCCCCATTCCTGCCCTAGTCAGTGCACTCAATAGTGCACTACATGATCAAAGGATCCTGCTGTAGCAAAACAGGGTAAAATTTCTCCTTTAATTTCTCAGCATTCAAGAGTTGGAAATCTGGGCTCTAGGCTCCTACCTTGCCATAAAGGTAATTAACCTGCTTTGTTTGGCATGCTGAGGCCTCAGCTGAAGTTCTGTGTCCAGTTCTAGGCACCATACTTCAGGCAAGATATAGACAAATTAGAGAGAGCCCAGGGGAGAGCAAGAAAAATAAAATGTTTAGAAAACTTGACTTATGAGGAAAGGTTAAAAGAAACTGGGCATGTTAGTCTTAAGAAAACTGACATTGGAAGAAACTCAAATGTGAAATTGCAGATACTAACTTGTGGATATAACCTATAATTTAAATCAGCTTCTCTACCGGATGACTCAAGGATAGCGAATATGACAACAATTTGTAGAAAAAGGTTCCAGAAGTAATCTTCGCAATTGTAGGTCCATGAGCCTCACTTCATTACCAAGAAAATTAGTTGAAACTATAGTAAAGAACAGAATTCAGACACAGATAAACACAATTTGTTGAGGAAGAGTCAGCATGTTTTTTGTAAAGGGAAATCATGCTTCACCAGTCTACTAGAATTCTCTGAGGGCATCAATAAGCAGGTGGACAAGGAGGATGCAGTGGATATAGTGTACTTTAAATTTTCAGAAGGCTTTTGACCTCACCAAAGGCTCTTAAGCAAAGGAAGCTGTCATGGGGTAAAAGAGAAGGTCCTCTCATGTGCTCAGTAACTGGTTAAAAAACAAGTAACAAAGAGTAGGAATAAATGGTCAGTGTTCAGAATGGAGGGAGGTAAATAGTGGTGTCTCCCAGGGATCTGTACTGGAGCCAGTGCTGTTCAACATGTTCAAATGTTAATAAATGTAAAGTCATGCACTTTGGAAAACCTTATCCCAATTATCCATCTAACATGATGGGGTGTAAATTAACTGCTAGCACTCAAGAAAGAAACCTTAGAGTCATAGGCTGTGTCTAGATTATGTCCCTCTTTTGCCAGAGGGATGTAAATTAGACACTTCGAAATTGCAAATGAAGCCGGGATTTGAATTTCCTGTGCTTCATTTGCATACTCACGTAATGATTTGCTCTTTTGAAAAAGTGCTATTTTGACCGTAAAATCGCAGTCTAGATGCAGTTCTTTCGAAAAGGGAAGGCTTTTTCGAAAGATCCTGTAAACTTCAAATCCTGGGTTCATTTGCAATTTTGAAGTGCCTAATTTACATCCCTCTGTCGAAAGAGGGGTGTGGTCTAGACACACCCGTAGTGAGTAATTCTCTCAAAGCATCTGCTCAATGTGCAGCGACAGTCCTAAACCTAACAGAGTTCTGTTCATTCCCTCTGGGCACCTGGCATTGACCTCTGTCTGGAGACAGGACACTGGCGTAGATGTGCCGTTGGTCTGACTCAATATGGACATTTTTATGTTAAAGGCTGCTATAAAGGGGACAGTGATCAGTTGTTCTCCATGTCCAGTGATGATAGGACAAGAAGTATTAGACTTCATCTGCAGCAAAGGAGATTTCATTTGGTACAGTGGAACCTCATGTATTTGATCTAATGGGGGGACAGATCAGATAATCAAAAATTCTGATAATCAGGAGAATGGGCAGGGCTCAGTTCAGGGAATACAGAGAGGTGGCTAATGAAGGTTAGGACAATGGGGGTTCTACTGTATTAGGAAAAACTTTCTAACCATACAGGTAGTTAAGCTCTAGAACAGGCTTCTAAGGGAGGTTGAGTCTCTAACTTGAAGTTGTAAAATCTGCAATTAGAGGACTTCAGTACCTTAAGCAGAGGTTAGGGATCTGTTATGGGGTGGATGGGTGCAGTTCAGTGGCCTCTGATGTGCAAGAGGTCAGACTACATGATCATGATGGTCCTTTTTGACCTTTGAGTCTATGCATTATGGAACCTCCTTCACTGGATGTTTTAAAGAACAGGTAGCCCAAACACCCTGCCAGTGAGGTTTACCTGGTCCTGCCTCAGTGAAATGATAGAACTTCATGACTTCTCAAAGTCTATTCCAGCCTGCATTTCTATGATGTCAAGGCCATCATCCTTCATTGTAAAGAATCTCCTAGTTCAGGGGTGGCCAACCCGTTAGAGACGAAGAGCCAGAACAGCAGTGGATAGAGTGCGAAGGGCCATGTACTGGGGGGCGGGAGGGGAGAGAGAGTTGTTGAGGGGGGAAAAAAATGGGCTGTGGGAAAATAGGTGCCAGTACACCGTCCCAGGGCATACCATCACAAAAAAAGCACTGGGAAGGGGTGAGAGGTACAAGCTTTGGGAGGGGATTTGGGTGCAGGAGGAAGTAGAGAAGAGGATGCTGGCTCAGGGAGGGGGCTCCAGGCTGGGGAGTGTTGGGCTCAGGGGGAGGGGTGGGGTGCTGAGCAAAGCCGCAGGCTTGTGGCTGTGAGGGTGTAGGAGTTTGGGCTGGGGTGCATGAGGGGGCTCAGGGCAGGGTGGACTGGGGTGCATGAGGGGCTCAGGGCAAGGAGTAAGATGGGCTCAGGACACAGATTTGCAGTATATGGATGGTGCAGGAGCGTTGTGGCAGAAGCCTGGGGATGTAGGGGTGCAGGAGTTTGGCGATATGAGAGGCTCTGGACAGGGGGTTCCAGTGTATGATAGGCTCAGGTTTGGGAACGGGTGTGTGTGTGTGTGTGCAGAAGTATTATGATGCTGCGGCTAGATGGGGGCTTGTTGGCCAGACTTCCTTTTTAAATAAACTATTCTGTCAAACACGAAATGTTTCGGCGTTGTCTTTATTTGGGGGGGTGGGGACACCTGTTCTGAGTCAGGGGTCACTGACCCACAGAAAAGTCAGTCGGGGCCACACAAGTGAGATTAAAAAAAAACAACTGCTCTAAAAACCCCCAAGCCTCACTAATGTGGCCCCAACTGTGCTGGTGGGGGCAGGGGACAGGGTGCTGGAGCAGGGTGCTGGTGGGTACTGGGGCAGGGTACTCATGGGAGGGTCTGGCTAGGAGGGGTCTGGCCAGGAGGAGGGGACAGAGATAGCTGGGGCCAATACCTGGGGATCCCGTGTCTCAGGAAGTACGCTGGCTGCTCTTCCCCTCCCGTCCCACAGGCACTCCCCCTGCTCTAACCCAATCCCCCTCCCCTTCCCCAGAGCCAGGTGCCCCCCCCAACCCAATCCCCCTCCCTTTCCCCAGAGCCAGACACCTGCCCTCCCTGCTCTAACCCAATCCCCCTCCCCCACTAACTTTATGCCCAGGTCCCGGAACTGCTGCTGGCGCCGCCGCCCCCGGAGCCCTCACCGCTGCAGCTGCCTGAGCACGTGCAGTCTGGGACGCTGTGTGTGACCCGGCCTGCACGTGCAGGATATGATGCAGTGCACTGGGGGCTGTGAACACGCATGCAGCTCTCAGTTGTCCGGCCGTGAGAGCGGCTGACCTGAGCAGTTCCATGAGGAACCGCAGTTTTTTTTTCTTCACGAGCCGCATGCAGCTCGCGAGCCGCGGGTTGGCAACCCCTGTCCTAGTTGCTTCTTTGTAGCTGTGCATATTCATGGGCATGACATACCTCAGATAGTGTTCTCGAATGCTGGGAATTGTAGTTCTGTCACCCACTGACTTGGCTTTGAGTTTCTTCCCTGCAATTACTGTTTACATGAGTAAGAGGGTTCCGTGCAAGGATATCAGTGGTTTGAGGGGCCTTTTTGACAGGTCCAGTGTCATGGCTGTTTACTCTCTCCTTGCAGGTGGAGTGTCACAATTATATCCGCATTCTGGAGTTTGCTGATGAGACCCACCTCTTCGCCTGTGGGACCTTTGCTTTCGATCCGCAATGCGGCTTCATTGTAAGTGCCCCCTGCCCGTCCGGTGTAAGGTGTGTTGGGGGGTGTTGAATGAGCTGTCCCAGCTACCTGAAGAAGCCAGGAGAAGAGTCCAGTGCTGCCTGCTTGGGGAAATGGACAGAGATCAAGAAGAATGAACCTAATGTGGAAGCTAATGAGGCTTTTCTGTTGCTCCATCGTCCTAGTTTGAGCCTTCAGAGGCTTTAATGTATCACCCTCAGCCTCTTGGTGAGCTAGGGCAGTAGTGTCCCCATTTTGCAGAGGAAGTGAGTTATTGTCCGCATATCCCATCCCAGACAGTCATAAAGGAAATGGTGTCTGTTGCCCCCACCCCAAACCTAGGGGCAACTGCTGGCGAGAGACACAGGCAGGCACCAGCCACACGACAGCCCTTCCTGTGCCACCCCTGGCATGTGGGAGGGCCGAGACAACCCCCCTCCATCCCTGAGCTACCCCCACCCTGCCTCTTCTCCAATTCTCCGCTTCCCAAGAGAGGCAGCCTGGGGGATTAGTGGGGCTCTGGCACTGGCAGCAGGAGTTGGGCCTCCCCTCACTCAGCGGCAGCAGTGGGGGAAGTGGAGTGATGCAAGAAGCCTGGGAAACAAACAGGAGGAATTGGAAGTCCTGGCACAGCCCCGAAAGTCTGATGTAACTGGAATAACGGAGACTTGGGGTACTTGCATGATGGGAGCACAGTCCTGGAAGGGTAGAAACTATTCAGGAAGGACTGGCCAAAGAGAAAAGGTGGAGGAGTTGCACTGCACAAGAGGGCAGTACAATTAATTGCCCAGAGCTCCAGTATGAAACTGGGGAAAAAGGCCTGTTGAGAGTTAAGATTAAAGGCGAGACCAGTAAGATTGATGCCGTGATGGGCGTCTGCCATAGACCACCAGAGCAGGAGGATGAGGCAGACGAGGCTTTCTTCAGACATCTAACTGAAGTTTCCAAATCACAGTCCCTGGTTCTCCTAGGGGACTTCAGTCACCCTGACATCTGCTGGGAGAGCAATACAACAGAGCACATGATCCAGGAAGTTTTTGGAGAGTGTTGGGGACAACTTCCTGGTTCTGCTCCTCTTGACCTGCTGTTCACAAACAGGGAAGTGGACATAGGTGGCCACCTGGGCAGCGATGTCCATGAGACGGTTGAGTTTAGATCCAGACATAAGGAATGAACGAGAACAGCAAAATACAGACCCTGGACTTGAGAAAAGCAGACTTTGACTCCGTCAGGGAAATGTTACCCACAGGATCCCTTGGGAGGCTAATATGAGGGCAAAAAGAGTCCAAGAGAGTTAGTTGTATTTTAAAGAAGCCTTATCAAGGACAGAGGAACAAACCATGCCAATATGCAGAAAGAACAGCAAATATGGTAGACAACTAGCTTGGCTTAACAGAGAAATCTTCAGTGAGCTTAAACAAACAGAAAAAGGAAGCTCAAAAGAAGTGGAAACTTGGACAAATGACTATAGAGGAGCATAAAAACGTGGCTTGAGCATGCAGGGCTGTAATCAGGAAGGCCAAAGCACAGCTGGAGTTGCAGCTAGCAAGGGATGTGAAGGGTAACAAGAAGGCTTCTGTAGGCATGTTAGCAATCAGAGGGTGGTGAGGGAAACCACAAGGTCCTTACAGGATGAGGGAAGTAACCTAGTGACAGATGTTGTGGGAAGTGCTCAATGCTGTTTTTGCCTTTGTCTTCACAGACAAGGTCAGCTCCCAGACTGCTGCACTGGGTGGCACTGTATGAGGAGGAGGTGAGCAGCACTCAGGGATAAAAGAACAGTTGTTTGACTATTTTGAAAAGTCCAGGAGGCTGGATCTAATGAATTGGAGCTTGCTAAGGGAGTTGGGTGATGTGATTGCAGAGCCATTGGCGATTGTCTTAGAAAAATCTTGGTGACTGGGGGATGTCAGAGGTGGTTTGGGGAAAGACAAATGTAGTGACTGTCTTTAAAAAAGGGAAGAAAGAGGATTTGGGGAACTACAGACCTCACCTCAGTCCCTGGAAAAATCATGGCGTACATGCTCAAGAATCCATTTTGAAACACTTGATGAAGAGGAAGGTGATCAGGAAGAGTCAGCATGGAATCACCAAAGGCAAGTCCTCCCTGACCAACCCAACTGGCTCTGTGGACATGGGGAGAACAGTGGATGTGTCCTACCCTTTTGAGACTGTATCAAAAGCTTTGCTAAAGTCAGGGTATTCAAGGTACAATATTCTTACCAGCAAACTAAGGAATGGACTATAAAGTGGATCGAAAGCTTTCTAGATCGCTGGGCTCAATGGGCAGTACTCAGGGCCCAGTATCAAACAGTGCCACAGGAATCGCTCGTGGAACTGCTTTTATTCAACAAAAACAAGACGGCTAATGGCATATTAGGGTGCATTAGGAGGAGCATTGCAGGCAGATCTATGGGAATAATCACTTCCCTAGATTCGGCTCTGGTGAGGCTACATCTGGAGAAATTCCAGTAGAGGGCAACAGACGTAATTAGTGGGCTGGAGCACATGACCTACGAGGAGAGGCAGAGGGATTTGGGCTTGTTTAGTCTGCAGAAGAGAAGAGCGAGGGGGATTTGAGCGCACCCTTCATTTCCCTGCAGGGAGGTTCCAAAGAGGCTGTTCTCAATGGCAACAGATTGTGTAAAATGACAGATTGAGGAGCAATGGTCTCAAGTTGCAGTGGGGGAAGCCTAGGTTAGGGGGATGAATAGCTCAGTGGTTTGAGCATTGGCCTGCTAAACCCAGCGTTGTGAGTTCAATCCTTGCAGAGGCCATTTAGGAACTTGGGGCAAATATTTGTCAGGATGGTACTTGGTCCTGCTGTGAAGGCAGGGGACTGGACTTGATGGACCTTTTCCTTCCAGTTCTAGGAGATAGGCAATCTCCATTAATTTGATATTAGGAAAAACTGTTTCACTACGCAGGTGGGGAAGCACTGGGATGGTTCCTTAGGGAGGGGGGGAATCTCTATCCCTAGAGGATTTTAAGGCACAGCTGGACAAAGCTCTGGCTGGGATGGTTGAGTTGGGGTGGGCCCTGCTATGGGCAGGAGGCTGGTCTCGATGACCCCTGAGGTCTCTGCCAACCCTGTGATTCTATGACTGAGCCCTAGCTTTCTCTGCTTCTGGCCAGTGAGTGCCGGGGTCAGTCCTGCCCTCTCCCCTGAGTGACAAGCTGGGAGCTGGAGCCAAAGGAGCTAGAGTCACTCTGCTTTCCCCTGCCACTGCTGCACCCACTCCTCCCCACCTACTCCTCCAAGCCCAGAGGCTCTGGCCCTGCTAGCTGGCTTTCTGCCCCTCTTGCCCATGGTGTCAGGGGGCATGTGCCCCCCTCGTGTCCTTCCCATGTGTCGTCCCTGCCCAAGCGGAGTAACTTAACTTTATTTGCTTTTATTACAGAGCGTGGCCAATTTCAGCACTGTGGAGCGTCAGGAAAGTGGCCGGGGGAGATGTCCCTTCGAGCCTACACAAGAGTCAGCAGCTGTCATGGTTGGTACGTTTGTCATAGTGTCAGTGCCATTTTGGTTTAGTCTGGAACTGAGTGCAGGGAGCTTCCCAGGCTGAGGCTACCCAGGCCCAAGGCCCCCCTGCTATCTGATCTGTGACTGAGCCATGGGGAGCAAGGCAGAGTGCAGTGACTGAGTCTTAGGGAGATGCCTGGCGCCATGTGACTGGGTTGGTGTAGAGGCCATAAGGGGTAGCCACTAACATTCTGAAACAGCTGCTCAACCTGGGTGTAAAATGGGATAAAATCCGGCCTCTCCTTGTCATCCAGATGTTACATCAAGGTCCAATTTGCTTTGTTTTCCTTCCAGATGAAGGTATCACTCTGCATTACAGCCTGGCCACAGTGCACCTCCCTCCCTCCCACCTGCTTTCCATTTGTTGCACATTAGTTCCTGTCTTTCATATCTGTCACATCTTGCACCTATTTCTAGATGGGGTGTTGTATGCTGCCACTGTCAGCAACTTCCTGGGGACACAGCCCATCATCTCCAGAGCAACAGGAATCCTCGAGGAGCGCATCCGGACTGAGATCTCAATGACCTGGCTGAATGGTGAGTGACCAATGGAGATGCAGCCCTTGCCAGAGAAGAAGAGTCAGATGCGTCTGAGGGGCATGGGGTGGGAGGCTTGGAGACCTTCACTGGCCAATGAAACAGAGAAGATGCCAAGTCAACCCTATCTCCTTTTGACCCCTCAGAGTGGCCTGGCCAGGTAGGGGGATATCAGTACTCTGGCCTCTTTGCCCAGAAACAGTGGCGCTTAATGGAGATGCAGCCCTTGCCAGAGAAGAAGAGTCAGATGCGTCTGAGGGGCATGGGGTGGGAGGCTTGGAGACCTTCACTGGCCAATGAAACAGAGAAGATGCCAAGTCAACCCTATCTCCTTTTGACCCCTCAGAGTGGCCTGGCCAGGTAGGGGGATATCAGTACTCTGGCCTCTTTGCCCAGAAACAGTGGCGCTTGCTGGCCTCAGTTGGGTCATTTCCTGTTGTGATTGTCTCTCACCTGTATCCCTAGACCCTGACTTTGTGGGCTCCACTTTCTTGAGAGGGAGTGAGAGTGGAGAGGATGACACAATCTATTTCTTCTTCATGGAGACAGCCAGGGAGTATGACAGCTATGAACAAGTGAAGGTCCCACGCGTGGCCAGAGTTTGCAAGGTACAACCCCCAGGGCTCCCATATGCACGGGGGGAGGGATGGGCTCACAGGCAGTGGAAGCTTCCATGCTGCTGGTCTAAGTCTCTCCTACTCTCAGGAGGGTGGGCAAAAGGTAATTATCCTAATCTGGTCAGGACACCAGAACGGGCAACCTGGTTCTGCCAGAAGAACCCATGGGAGGTGTGTAACACTGACAGACAGAATTGAACCGGAGAGCTCTGGAGCTTAGCGCATGAGCCTCTACTTCAGCGGTGCGCAACCCGTGGGGTTCCTAGGGGATTGCAGCACTTGGATCTGGCCGGCTGCTTTTCCTGGCTTCTCGGCTCGGCGTTCAATGTATATGTGGCAGGAGAGCAGCTGCGGCCCGACACTTAAAGGAGCCACTTCCTGTTTGTTTGTTTTTTGTTGGTTTTTTTGCTCCACCAAATTCGGCGTCCCGAATGAAAAAAGGTTATGTACCACTGTGCTACTTCATGAGCCAAAAGCCAGCTGGGTAGTAGTTTAGGCTGTAGAGCAGATTTTTTATTCTCTCTGTAAGTAGTCCCAATGCCGCTGGTTGGAACAGTGTCACACCCGGCAGGTGTGTGGGTGACAAGTGCAGTGAGGGTATGTGGCCAGGCCCTCATTTACATCTCGCTGTTGTAATGCTGTCCGGAGCATAATATGTCCTGGTGCCACCTGAAGGCAGTGGTGTCAACGTGGGAACCCCTTTTCTCTCTAGGACTACGGCTACACTGCAATTTTTTTGTGGAAGAAGATATGCAAAAGCTACCGGGGGGGAAGATGTTCTAGATTTCATCCTAAGAAATAAAGACGAACTAGTTGAGAATTTCAAAGTGGAAGGCAGCTTGGGTGAAAGTGATCAGAAATCATAGAGTTCACAATTCTAAGGAAGGGTAGAAGGGAGAACAGCAAAATAGAGACAATGGACAGGAAGGCGGATTTTGGTAATCTCAGAGAGCTGATAGGTAAGGTCCCATGGGAATGGAGACTTAGGGGAAAAACAACTGAGGAGAGTTGGCAGTTTTTCAAAGGGACATTGTTAAGAGCCCAAAAGCAAGCTATTCCGATGTGTCGAAAAGATAGAAAATGTGACAAAAGACTGCCTTGGCTTAACCACAAGATCTTGCATGATCTAAAAATAAAAAAGGAGTCATAAAAAATGGAAAGTAGGACAAATTAAAAAGGACGAATATAGGCAAACAGCACAGGAATGCAGGGGCAACATTAGAAAGGCAAAGGCACAGAATGAGCTCAAACTAGCTACCGAAATAAAGGGAAACAAGAAGACTTTTTATAAATACATTAGAAGCAAGAGGAAGACCAAGGAGAGGGTAGGCCCACTGGTCAGTGAGGAGGGAGAAACAGTAACAGGAAACTTGGAAATGGCAGAGATGCTCAATGACGACTTTGTTTCGGTCTTCACCGAGAAGTCTGAAGGAACACCTAACATAGTGAATGCTAGTGGGAAGGGGGTAGTTTTAGAAGGTAAAATAAAAAAAGAACAAGTTAAAAATCACCTAGAAAAGTTAGATGCCTGCAAGTCATCAGGCCCTGATGAAATGCATCCTAGAATACTCAATGAGCTGATAGAGGAGGTATCTGAGCCTGTAGCTATCATCTTTGGAAAATCATGGGAGACAGGAGAGATTCTAGAGGACTGGAAAAGGGCCCATCTATAAAAAGGGAAATAAGAACAACCCAGGAAACTACAGACCAGTTAGTTTAACTTCTGTGCCAGGGAAGATAATGGAGCAAGTAATTAAGGAAATCATCTGTAAACACTTGGAAAGTGGCAAGGTAATAGTGAACAGCCAGCATGGATTTGTAAAGAACAAATCATGTCAAACCAATCTGATAGCTTTCTTTAATAGGATAACGAGTCTTGTGGATAGGGGAGAAGTGGTGGATGTGGTATACCTAGACTTTAGTAAAGATTTTGATGCTGTCTCTCATGATATTCTTATCAATAAACTAGGTAAATACAACTTAGATGGGGCTACTATAAGGTGGGTGCATAACTGGCTGTTAAACCGTACTCAGAATTAGTTATTAATGGTTCACAATCCTGCTGGAAAGGCATAACAAATGGGGTTCCGCAGGAGTCTGTTTTGGGACCGGCTCTGTTCAATATCTTCATCAACGATTTAGATATTGGTATAGTAAGTACGCTTATTAAGTTTGCAGATGATACCAAGCTGGGAGGGGTTGCGACTAATCTGGAGAATAGGGTCATTAGTCAAAATGACCTGGACAAATTGGAGAAATGGTCTGAGATAAATAGGATGAAGTTTAATAAAGACAAATGCAAAGTGCTCCACTTAGGAAGGAACAATCAGTTTCACACATACGGAATGGGAAGCGACGGTCTGGGAAGGAGTACGGCAGAAAGGGATCTAGGGGTTATAGTGGATCACAAACTGAACATGAGTCAGCAGGGTGATGCTGTTGCAAAAAGAGCAAACATGCTTCTGGGATGCATTAACAGTTGTGTTGTGAGCAAGACATGAGAAGTCATTCTTCTGCTCTACTCTGCGCTGGTTAGACCTCAGTTGGAGTATTGTGTTCAATTCTGGGCACCGCATTTCAAAAAAGATGTGGAGAAATTGGAGAGGGTCCAGAGAAGAGCAACGAGAATGATGAAAGGTCTAGAGAACATGACCTATGAGGGAAAGCTGAAGGAATTAGGTTTGTTTAGTTTAGAAAAGAGAAGATTGAGGGGGGACACAATAGCAGTTTTCAGGTATCTAAAAGGGTGTCATAAGGAGGAGGGAGAAAACTTGTTCATCTTGACCTTTGGGGATAGAACAAGAAGCGATGGGCTTAAACTGCAGCAAGGGAGGTTTAGGTTGGACAGTAGGAAAAAGTTCCTAACTGTCAGGGTAGTCAAACACTGGTCTAAATTGCCCAGTGAGGTTGTGGAATCTCCATCTGTGGAGATATTTAAGAGTAGGTTAGATAAATGTCTATCAGGGATGGTCTAGACAGTATTTGGTCCTGCTATGAGGGCAGGGGACTGGACTCGATGACCTCTCAAGGTCCCTTCCAGTCCTAGTATTCTATGATTCTATGATTCTTTTCCAAGCTGAAAAGTCCCTGTCTCTTTAATCTCTCCTCATATGGGACCCGTTCCAAACCCCTAATCCTTTTAGTTGCCCTTCTCTGAACCTTTTCTAATGCCAGTATATCTTTTTTGAGATGAGGAGACCACATCTGTACACGGTATTCCAGATATGGGTGTACCATGGATTTATGTAGAGGCAATACAATATTCTCTGTCTTATTCTCTATCCTTTTTTAATGATTCCTAACATCCTGTTTGCTTTTCTGACTGCCTCTGCACATGGCGTGGACATCTCCAGAGAACTATCCACAATGACTCCAAGATCTCTCTCCTGATTAGCTGTAGCTAAATTAGCCCCCATCATATTGTATGTCTAGCTGGGGTTATTTTTTCCAATGTGCATTACTTTACATTTAGCCACATTCAATTTCATTTGCCATTTTGTTGCCCCATCACTCAGTTTGTTGAGATCTTTTTGAAGTTCTTCGCAATCTGCTTTGGTTTTAACTACCTTGAGCAATTTAGTATCGTCTGATTGGCCTGGGGGTGGAGGGAGTGCGCAAAGCTGCCTCCAGCCCTACCCCTGCCCTGTGCGAGCGTTCGGCACTTTGAAGTGCTGTGTACTCCTCGCAGGGCGGCAGGGGAGGGCGGAGGAAACTTAGTGCACTCTTCCTGCCCTCAGGGCTTGGGTGCGGGGGAATGGGTGACATCTCCTCCCGCAAGAAGCGCACGTGCTCCTGGCAGGGTGGAAGGAAGTTTCGTGTGCTCCCTGAGACCCTAATTGGCCTGGGAATGGGAGAGTGGCAGGGTCTCTGTGGGCCAAATTAACCTGCTTGGTGGGCTGGATCCGGCCTGTGGAGGCCCTTTTACCTACCCCTGATCTAGCCCAATATCCTGTCTGCCCACAGTGGCCAATGCCGGGAGCTTCAGAGGAAATTAAAAGAACAGGGCAATGGAGAGACAAATGCCATGTTATCCATGCTGGCAGGCAGAGGCAAGTGACACCTAGAGCAGCAGTGTGCAACCCATGGGGATCGTGGCTGTCTTCCCAGGGGGTTGCAGGTATTTTCTGCTTTTTCCGGCTTGGCAGCTGGACATGCGGCGCGGCGAGGTGGGGTGAGTGGCAGGGGAGTGGCCCGGCAATTAAAGGGGCCATGACTGCATTTCAGCAGCCTGGCCTTTTCTCCCCCTTCCTCCCCTTTCAACAAAATGTTCCCAGCACTTTTCTGGGGGGGGAGGTCCGGGGGTTGTGAATGAAAAAAGGTTGCGCACCGCTGACCTAGAGCATGGGGCTGCATGCCTGATCATTTTGGATAATGACCATTGATGGACTGACCCTTCATGAACTTCTCATTCTTATTTGAACCCCATTATGCTTTTGGCCTTCAACATCCAGGTTGTATCAACAGGTGTGTTGTAAGCAAAACTCGTGAAGTCATTCTGCCGCTCTATTCTGCACTAGTTAGGCCTCAGCTGGAGTACTGTGTCCAGTTCTGGGCGCCACATTTCAAGAAAGATGTGGAGAAATTGGAAAGGGTACAGAGAAGAGCGACAAGAATGATTAAAGGTCTAGAGAACATGACCTATGAAGCCAGGCTTCATGAACTGGGCTTGTTTAGTTTGGAAAAAAGAAGATTAAGGGGGGACATGATAGCGGTTTTCAAATATCTAAAAGGGTGTCACAAGGAGGAAGGCGAAAATTTGTTCCTCTTGGTTTCTGAGGACAGGACAAGGAGTAATGGGCTTAAAGTGCAGCAGGGGAGGTTTAGATTGGACATTAGGAAAAAATTCCTAACTGTCAGGGTGGTCAAATATTGGAATAAATTGCCAAGGGAGGTGGTGGAATCTCCCTCTCTGGAGATATTTAAGAACAGGTTAGATAGACATCTGTCAGGGATGGTGTAGACGGAGCTTGATCCTGCCTTGAGGGCGGGGGGCTGGACTTGATGACCTCTTGAGGTCCCTTCCAGTCCTATTATTCTATGATTCTATGATTCTATGATCCCCTAAGAAGGAGTTCCACAGGTTGGCTGTGCATTGTTCATTTTAAATCTGCCACCTGTTAATTCCATCAGATGACCCTGATTGTGTGAAGGAGTTAAATAATACTAGTTTTATGCTCTTTCTCTGCACCATTTGTGATTTTATAGACTTCTGGCATAGCATCCCCTTCCCCCTTAATCTTCTCTTTTCTAAATTCATCAGTTCCAGTCTTTCTAATCTCGCCTCCTGTGGAAGTTGTTCCGTACCCCTCATCAATTTTGTTACTGTTCTCTCTACTTTTTCAAGTTCTAGCTCATATTTTTTGAAACAAGATGGCCAGAATTACATATAGTATTCAAGGTGTGGGAATAACATGGATTTACATTGTGCCATTATGATGTTTTCTGTCTTCTTATCTATCCCTTTCCTAATGGTTTTGTTAGCTTTTTGACTGCTGAGGCTGATGTAAGTGATAGGGTATTAGCTCTGCAATTTTTTATATAAATTCCTTCAAAACTCTTGAGGGAATACCAGCTGGTCCTGTTGGCTTATTAGCAGGGCTTGCCAAACCGCAATGAGCCCCGCTTGCCAGCCGCGCTGTCCAGCAATCTGCGCACGCGCAGATCGCCCGAACCCAGCTCTTCCGGGTTGCAATCTACTCGCCACGGGCAACGGGCCAGTCGATTGTATTATTTCATAGAATCATAGAATCATAGAATAATAGGACTGGAAGGGACCTCGAGAGGTCATCGAGTCCAGCCCCCCGCCCTCAAGGCAGGATCAAGCTCTGTCTACACCATCCCTGACAGATGTCTATCTAACCTGTTCTTAAATATCTCCAGAGAGGGAGATTCCACCACCTCCCTTGGCAATTTATTCCAATATTTGACCACCCTGACAGTTAGGAATTTTTTCCTAATGTCCAATCTAAACCTCCCCTGCTGCACTTTAAGCCCATTACTCCTTGTCCTGTCCTCAGAAACCAAGAGGAACAAATTTTCTCCTTCCTCCTTGTGACACCCTTTTAGATATTTGAAAACCGCTATCATGTCCCCCCTTAATCTTCTTTTTTCCAAACTAAACAAGCCCAGTTCATGAAGCCTGGCTTCATAGGTCATGTTCTCTAAACCTTTAATCATTCTTGTTGCTCTTCTCTGTACCCTTTCCAATTTCTCCACATCTTTCTTGAAATGTGGCGCCCAGAACTGGACACAGTACTCCAGCTGAGGCCTAACTAGTGCAGAGTAGAGCGGCAGAATGACTTCACGAGTTTTGCTTACAACACACCTGTTGATACAACCTAGAATCATATTTGCTTTTTTTGCAACAGCATCACACTGTTGACTCATATTCAACTTGTGGTCCACTATGACCCCTAGATCCCTTTCTGCCATGCTCCTTCCTAGACAGTCGCTTCCCATCTTGTATGTATGGAACTGATTGTTCCTTCCTAAGTGGAGCACTTTGCATTTCTCTTTATTAAACCTCATCCTGTTTACCTCTGACCATTTCTCTAACTTGCTAAGGTCATTTTGAATTATGTCCCTATCCTCCAAAGAAGTTGCAACCCCACCCAGTTTGGTATCATCTGCAAACTTAATAAGCGTACTCTCTATCCCAATATCTACATCATTGATGAAGATATTGAACAGTACGGGTCCCAAAACAGACCCTTGCGGAACTTCACTTGTTATCCCTTTCCAGCAGGATTTAGCACCGTTAACAACCACTCTCTGACTACGGTTATCCAGCCAATTATGCACCCACCTTATCGTGGCCCTATCTAAGTTATATTTGCCTAGTTTATCAATAAGAATATCATGCGAGACTGTATCAAATGCCTTACTAAAGTCTAGGTATATGACATCCACCGCTTCTCCCTTATCCACAAGGCTCGTTATCTTATCAAAGAAAGCTATCAGATTAGTTTGGCATGACTTGTTCTTCACAAACCCATGCTGGCTATTCCCTATCACTTTATTACCTTCCAAGTGTTTGCATAGGATTTCCTTAATTACCTGCTCCATTATCTTCCCTGGGACAGACGTTAAACTGACCGGTCTGTTAGCCCTGTTCATTAGTGTTTAATCAATTCATTCAAAACCCACCTGTGTTGACACCTCACTCTGGGACAGTTCCACAGATTTGCTACCTAACATGAATAATTCATCTGTGGGAATCTTTCACATCCTCTGCAGTGAAAACAGATGCAAAGAATTCAAAGGTTGCTTCTGATGTTCTTATAAAAAACCAATAGCAATTTTTTAAATCTTTTGTTAGTTGCTCTTTAAATACTTTTCTGGACTGATTCCAAGGCCAAAAGAGACCACTGTGATCATCTAGTCTGATCTTGTGTGTAACACAGGCCATAGAACATCCCCCAAATAATCCCTGCAATAGATCTCTTATAAATACAGTCCACCTTGATTTAAAGTCTGTCAGCGAAGGAGACTCCAGCGCATCGCTTGGTAATGGACAGAAATAGATGCTTTATTTCTAGTCTGACTGTATCTAACTATCCTGCCCTAATCTTGGGGCTGCCTTCTCCTGTGTTTGAGGATGCTGGCATGGACCTGTTAGTCATAGCACCCGCAGTGAAAGAGCAGTGCTCATGTTTAGACAGAAGGGTGCCTAAGGTGCGTGCATAGGTTAAGATAAGCTCCTGCTACAAGCTGGGCAGCAGATCAATCCTTTTCCTCCTGAGTGTAAATGTCTCCTTCATGCTCTCTCTTTAGGGGGACTTGGGAGGCCTGAAGACCCTGCAGAAGCGGTGGACAACTTTCCTAAAGACCCAGCTGGTTTGCTCAGATCCAGAGAGTGGAATTGACTTCAATCTATTGAAGGATGTATTTACCCTGCATTCTGTGAACGGGACTTCTGCCGTGTTCTACGGTATCTTCTCAGCCCAGAGGTGAGCGCCTTTCCTAACTCTGCCCTGGGGTCACTGAAGGGAAAGTGGACTCAGTGTGCAAAGGAGACTCATCCTCAGTCTCCTAATATGCCTGTGCTCTGCATACCAAGTCTGAGTTCCTGTGGAAATCTTGCGTGGAACACTGCATTGCATGAGATGGATACAACAAGCAGTCAAAATCCTTACAACTTCTGGTTTCCTTACAGGTGCTAAAGTAGCATGTGGGAGAATCCTGGTTCTTTAATCCTTGCTTTTTTTTCCTCTTCACTCCTAGTTAGGGCTGTTCATTTTGTGTGTACCTCAGATCATTTTAATCTGTGAACACTGTTTTGGGGAGCTTTGGTTTCTTTTTGAGTGCTTATCCTCACAGAGTCTGCTCTTCTGAAGCACACACGATCCATGTGTGCAAGGATGACGTTCAATAGGGACAAATGCAAAGTACTCTACTTAGGAAGGAATAATCAGTTTCACATACACAGAGGCTGTGTCTAGACTGGCAAGTTTTTTCGCAAAAGCAAGTGCTTTTGCGGAAAAATTTGCCAGCTGTCTACACTGGGCACTTGAATTTTCGCAAGAACACTGACTTCCTACTGTCTGAAATCAGGGCTTCTTGCGGAAATACTGTTCTGCTCCCGTTCGGGCAAAAGTCCTTTTGCGCAAAGCTTTTGCGCAAAAGGGCCAGTGTAGACAGCTCAGATTTGTTTTGTGTAAAAAAGCCCCGATCGCGAAAATGGCGATTGGAGCTTTTTTGCGGAAAAGTGCATCTAGATTGGCACGGACGCTTTTCTGCAAAAAGTGCTTTTGCGGAAAAGCGTCCGTGCCAATCTACACACTCTTTTCCGCAAATGCTTTTAACAGAAAACTTTTCCGTTAAAAGCATTTGCGGAAAATCATGCCAGTCTAGATGTAGCCAGAATGGGAAGCGACTATCTAGGAAGAAGTACTGCAGAAAGGGATCTAGGGGTCTTAGCACAAGCTAAATATGAGTCAGTAGCATGACTGTTGCAAAAAAAGCAAACATGAATCTGGGATACATTAACAGGAGTGTTGTGAGCAAGACATGACAAATGATTCTTTCACTCTACTCTGCACTGATTAGGCCTTAATTGAAGTATTGTGCCCAGTTCTGAGCACCACATTTTAAGAAAGAAGTGGAGAAATTGGAAAAAGTCCAGAGAAAAGCAACAAAATGATTGAAAGTCTAGAGAACATGAACTGTGAGGGAAGTCTGAAAGAATTGGGCTTGTTTAGTTTAGAAAAGAGAAGACTGAGAGGGGACATGGTAGTAGTTTTCACGTCATAGAATCCTAGGGCTGGAAGAGACCTCAGGAGGTATTGAGTCCAACCTACTGCCCAAAGCAGGACCAATCCCAATTAAATTATTCTAGCCAGGGCTTTGTCAAGCCGAGTTTTAAAAACCCTTAGGGATGGAGATTCCATCCCCTCGACCCACGCCAGTAACCCATTCCAGTACTTCATCACCCTCCTAGTGAAATAGTTTTTCCTAATATCCAATCTAGACCTCCCCCACTGAAACTTGAGACCACTGCTCCTTGTTCTGCCACCTGCCCCCACTGAGAACGGCCTCCCTTCAGGAAGTTGAAGGTTGCTATCAAATCCCCCCTCGCTCTTCTCTTCTGTAGACTAAATAAGCCCAAATCCCTCAGCCTATTCTCATAGGTCATGTGCTCCATTCCCCTAATCATTTTGATTGCCCTCCAATGGATCCTCTCCAATGCGTCCACATCCTTTCTGTGTGGGGAAGAGGCCCAGAACTGGACACAGTATTCCAGATGTGGCCTCACCAGAGCCGAATAAAGGGAATAATCACATCTCTGGCTCTTCTGAAAATGCTCCTCCTAATGCACCCTAATATGCCATTAGCCTTCTTGGCTACAAGGGTGCCCTGTTGACTCATATATCTCATCCATTGTAATCTTAGCCAGTTGGTCCCCTGCCTGTAACAATACTTGGGATTCTTTCGTCCCAAGTGCAGGACTCTGCACTTGTTCTTGTTGAACCTCATCAGATTTCTTTTGGCCCAATCCTCCAATTTATCTAGGTCACTCTGAACTCTATCCCTATGCTGCAGTATATCTAACTCTCCCCCCAGCTTAGTGTCATCTGCAAACTTGCTGAGGGTGCAACCCATCCCCTCATCCAGGTCATTAATAAAGATGTTGAACAAAACTGGCCCTAGAACCGATTCTGGAGGCACTCTGCTTCAAACTGACCGCCAACCAGACATCGAGCCGCTAATCACTACCCATTGAGCCTGACAGTTTAGCCAGCTTTCCAGCCACTTTACAGTTCATTTATCCAGTCCAAACTTCCTTAACTTGCTGGCAAGAATATTGTGGGAGACCGTATCAAAAGCTTTGCTAAAGTCAAGGTCTATCATATTCACTGATTTCCCCATGTCCACAGAGCCAGTTACCTCATCACAGAAGCTAATCAGATTGGTCAGGCACGACTTTCCCTTTGTGAATCCATGCTGACTATTCCTGATCACATTCCCCTCTTCCACGTGTTCAAAATGAATTCCTTGAGGATCCCCTCCATGATTTTTCCGGGGACTGAGGTGAGGCTGACTGGTCTGTAGTTCTCTGGATTGTTCTTCCCTTTTTTGAAGCTGGGCCCTACATTTGCCTTTTTCCAATCATCCGGGACCTCTCCCAATCTCCAGGAGTTTTCAGAGATAATAATCAAAGGCTCCGCAATGACATCTGCCAACTCCCTCAGCACCCAGTGTCACGTGGTTCCATTTTTAGATCCAAGGGAAGCTAGGACACTTCACCCATCAAGACACCATGCACTGCTGCAGCCAGTGTGAAGGGCCTGTTACTTCTAGCAGGACCTGTTGGTCAGTCCGGCTCCCTCCCTCCCACTGAGTCTTTTCTACAGCTATATTTACACTCGACTTGGTCATCATATGTATAGTAGCCCAGTGTCTGTGCGTCTGTAACGCTGACGCTGATGCTGACGTAAACGGCTACGCCTCCTGGCCGTGTACATCAGCGCCCTGTCCCCTCCCTCCGTGGCGCTTCAGCCGAGCGCTGCGCCGCTCAGCTGGGTCCCGGCAGGGGAGCAAGTGACGGCAAGCGGCCATTTGGGGTCCGCGCTGCATCCCCCCCCTGCTTCCCACCTGCTCTTCCTGCCAGCCAGCCCCACGGCCCCCCCA